AAAAGACTTTTCTTCTAATACTGCAACTTTGCATTGTTTCTAAAGACTAACATCACTTACTGCTAAAATGTCTTTTTGAAATGATGATAATTTGTTTAAATATTTTGTCAAATGAAAAACTGGTAGGTCTGTACTATTCCTCCTATTTGTATTTTACTAGTACATGAAATCCCAAAGCTTAGGAACTACTGGAATAAACAATTTGACTTCATGTGTTTGAATGCATGTGTGCACTTCAAAGCTCAGACATTAGAATTATATATAGATTTATGAACTTTTTACATTGAAGTCATAAATAAGTCCTTGCATATTTTATCATGTGTGCACTAAAATTTCATATTATCGTATAAGAAAATAGATGTTTCTGAATCATTATGAATTTGGTAAAATGTTCATGACTTTAAAAATATTGTTTCAAAAAAGTACAACTCGGGTCTGGCACTGTGGCACAGTGGATTAACGCCCTGGCCTGAACACTGGCATCCCATATGGGCACCACTTTGAGGCCCGGCTGCTTCTCTTTTGGTCCAGCTCTCTGCTATGGCCTGGGAAGGCAGTGAGGATGGCCCAAGTGCTTGGGCCCCTGCACCCACCTGGGAGACCCGAAAAAGCTCCTGGCTCTTGACTTTGGATCGACGCAGCTCTAGCTGTTGTGACCATCTGAGGAGTGAACCAGTGGATGGAAGACCTCTCTCTCTGTCTCTACCTCTCTGTGTAACTCTGTATTTCTAATAAATAAAATAAATCTCAAAAAAAAAAAGTACAAATGATAATACTGTTCTCTAAGGCACATGGGAATATTCTTTAACTGCTGTCAATTAATATTGATTGAATTAGTATATCAAAGGTGCTAATGGAGGAATTATTCCAGGCAATCAATTATAGCTGGGAAATGTGCATTTCCAAGAAATTCTTAAACTCCCAAGCACATAATCTGTAATGTCAATGGATAACTCAAGGTTCTCAAGTTTTTTATCCCTTCATAGCATTCCTTACTTTGCAGATTACTCTGCTTCTCATTTCAACAGGAAACAGGAGGGCATTTTCATAAGTGTCCTCAAAACTTATTCTCATTCAGTGAAAAATATCTAAATTCCCATTCCTTTCCTCCCCTCTCTTCCTACTATTTCCTTTCCTTCTCTCCCTTTCCCTTACTCCTCCCCACCCCCTTTCTTTTCATTTTCTCCATCTTGGACACCTCTGTCCCTGGTTCTATCCCTCCGTCCTTCCCTTCCTTCTTCCCTCTTTCCTTCCTGTTTTATTTCCATACTCCCTGATATTTCCTTGCTCCATGAGTAGTTCTTCTCCTGTATCTTCATTTTCCTCTGTCTTGACTGATATGTTTTTGTCTGCCCATGTTTTTGTCTGCCCTTGTACTTTCAAAATCAATTTTTCCTAATCTTGAAAAATAGCAGGCTGGCACCTTGGCTCAATAGGCTAATCCTCCACCTGCGGTGCCGGCACCCCAGGTTCTAGTCCGGGTCGGGGCACCAGATTCTGTCCCAGTTGCTCCTCTTCCAGTCCAGCTCTCTGCTGTGGCCCGGGAGTGCAGTGGAGGATGGCCCAAGTGCTTGGGCCCTGCACCCGCATGGGAGACCAGGAGAAGCACCTGGCTCCTGGCTTCAGATCAGCGCAGCGCGCCAGCCACAGCGGCCATTGGGGGGGTGAACCAACAGAAAAGGAAGACCTTTCTCTCTGTCTCTCTCTCTCTCACTGTCCACTATGCCTGTAAAAAAAAGAGGAGGGGGAGGAGGAGGAGGGGGAGAGGGGGAGGGGGAGGAGAGGGAGGTTTTCTCTCTCTCTCTTCCTCCCGACGAGTGGGAGAGGGGAGAGGGGGGAGGAGGGGGAGGAGGGGGAGGAGGAGAAGAAGAAAAATAGCTTTGGTCAACCCTGATACCTCTTTATCCTTTATCCCGTTATCTCATTCTTTTTCAAGATTACCTTCTAAAACCAGGACTCTGTTCTCATCATCTTCATTTTTGGTTGAAATTAAAAGTAATATAGGTGCCAGTGATAATTATGAGAAAATTTGTCTGTGAATAATCACAATGGTTTGTTGAGTTTTCAAAATGCTATGAAAGTTACTATACTTAACAATAGCATGATGTTGAAAGGCTGGAAAATCTATTTGGTTGACATACGAACAAAGAACATTATTCATATGGGGCAAAGTTATGCATACACTTCTTCTGGTTATCATGAATTACATCTCCTCTATTCAATCCTCACTTAGGGCATGATGTTCACAGAGCTATTCAATTGTTCCGTGAAGTGTGGTTTGTTTGCTTGTTTTCTCTCCCAGGAATATAACATTTATTTATGAAGATATAGAGATCAGAAAGTTCTTAACATAAATTTACAGGAAATAATTTTCTTAAGCATAATTTTTCATGAAAATGTATCATTATATAATGTTTAATTTTTCTACTAAGCTGTTAATGAATTTATTTCCACTTTATAAAATAAACCGGCCACTATGCAGGTGTATATTTTATTAGTAACCATTAAGACACAGTTCTTAGCTTTCTTCTTCAAGCTGTTTGAAATAAAGTGTGACTGTAACAGATCAGATTCAAATGCCAAACCGATCCTGAATATGATTCTTCCAAGGCACCTTCTATCTCCTTAATGCTCTCACATCTGCTTCCCATTCCTACTAGTCTACAGTCAGCCAAATAAAATAGATTTTATACAGTTTTCACTATATTTGGTAGGTTGCTAGAATTTGATGGTTATAATCACTGCCACCTCCTTCTTTAAATGATATTTTCCATAAAACTAGACCATCTTAAGTCTCATTTCTGTATATTTTATTTTTTGCTTTTATTCTTTGTCATTTTCTCTTGCCTTTTAGATTTATATTTTGGCATCAGCCATTCTGCTCAACAGGTGTTTCAATTCCAATTGGCTGTTTGGCCTTCTTTCATATCTGGCTATTGCCTTAAACTTTGTATGTCCGCTCTTGATCCCTCCATATTTTATTGCCCTCAGCCACCAATAAAACTGACCAGAAGTCAACCTGCTCTCCCAATATCTGCTATTGGTCAAGTTTCCCCTGTAGTTAATAAAAAAATAAATATAATCATACAATATATTTGGAAACAAATGAGTAACTATAAGGATATAGAGAAGGTTTTAACTGAGTGATTTCTGATCTGAGTTTTGACAAATAAGAGGGGTAGGACAGCCTGAACAGCAAAAACATCCTAGAGGAGTAGTCAAAGGTAAAGACTCTGCATTTAAACTTCCTAGATTAAAATACCTGCTGTACTGACATTATTTACTACCTGAATTACCTTGAGAGGTACCTTAATCACTCTTTGTGGGGAGCAACTCGGACTAGACTGTTAACTGGAATTAAGACTTATTCTATACATCTGCTCTCCCACAATATGGTGCTGAGAAGGGAGTAACAACTTCTACGCAGCTGCCTCTCGCCAGCTTGAGTGATGACCTGCAGGAGCTGATGCTGCTCCTGATTGCAGGAGAGCAGCGTACTCGGCATGTGGGTAGCAGAGTTGGGATTGGTGGAAGAGGGCTATAAAGGAGGAGAGAGACAACATGCACCAGGGAACATCTATCTGAAGGAACACCTGTGCAGCCCCCGAGAGAGCCGGCCGGCGGTGTGCCGCTCCCCCGTGGAAGTGGGGAAAGTGGCAGGGGGAACCGCCCTTCCACGGAGGTGGAAGGGTCGGTAGCCAACCCGGGAAGAACCAGCAGCAAACCCGGGGAGGGCCGAGCAGACGAAAGAACAACGCAGGGTCCTGTGTCGTTCCTCCACGAAGAGGGGGAGCGACACTCTTGACTTCAATTTTATCATCTATAAAATGGCAATGCCAATTTTGTTAGAGATACATGTGTTAACAGAAGCTTTCAGATCAATAGTTACAGGCAAATATAGGCACACAAGAACTACTGTATGTGCTTGGTTTGAAGACAACAATCAAAGACACATAATGGAAATGAGACACAGACTGGCCTGTTCTCCACACTTACAACAGTTCACTGGTGCAAGAGGGAAATGTGAACACTGACAGTGGCTGACAGAAACAAGGCCCAGATAAGAATGGGCCTTAGATGCAAGCTGATGGATTTAGTGATGAAGACCCATTCATTTAGTGATCTGTCAAAGTAGTTGAAATAGGCTCGTGTGAATAGAATTTTAACTTTAAAGTAAGTAGAAAACAAAGACACTATTTAAGAAACTACTGGGAAGAGGGGAATGGGACTTAACCAGCAAATCTGACTTGAGACTTCATTTGGCAGCATTTCATCTTTATCTCTTGGTTTTATATGTAAGTACAAATGTCACTTTTTGTAGGTTCCCTCAGGGTTTCAAATCAAGGTATATTCTGGGTTTTATTTCTCCCATGTGGAAATAGAAATGAGTCTCACTTCACCATTATAGGTATATCGCTTTTCTCATAGCTCTGGAAATGCAATGAATTAAATGCTTGATCTCTGGATCATGATGGAGAATTTAGCAGTCAGAAGAAGCCACCAAAATGAATAGGAACCAAAGAGACACCAGGGAAAGAAAATAATTTGTCATATGATTCAAGTCATTTGTACTGTTTTACTACATTTGTTCTACACTATTAGGCACTTGTACATACAATGTCAGGTTCTCTAAACTAATTTTTAGAATGAGTTAAGCACAGAAATCAACTACAAAGGCTTTCTGTCTTAGAAAAGTCATATTGTGAATATAATAGTGTTTGAAAGGGCTACTAGACTCAACCAAAATTCTAAATTCTTGCCCATCTACTTTCATATTCAAAACTGTTTTAGAATGATGAAGAGTGTTTCTCATATCTAATCCAGGTCAATGTTATTTTTCACAATTAAGTTGAATTTTTTGCTTTTCTAAGAATTATAAAAAAGGCTAATTGTAAGGATATCTTAAGTGATATGATTATTTAGAAGTGTGTTTTTGCAAGGGCCAGTATTATGAGAAGAGAAGCATTTCTATACAAAGATACAACAACATGGGTATTAATTTCAACTTCAATTTGAGTAAATGCTGAAATTACTTACTCTTGGGTTCAGGGGTACTTATTCCATAGTAGTCTAGGAGAGCAAGTTACTTGCTTTCAACGGCAGTATCTTTTGACATAGTTCTACGAAGTTAATATATGTCCTGTAAATGACACTTCTGTGGACAAATAAGATTGTGATACCATTTGCACCAGATTTTCCAAATGGGCTACCTAACCTAGTCTAAAATTTAATTACATTCAAACTACAGTGTCTTCTGCTAAATTCTAGGCAACATGCATAGACCTGGAGATATGAGATTTGGCAATATTGGACTGTATTCTGAAGGACTCAGGACCCCAGTAGATAGAGCCATAGCTTCAGTGCCCTAGTCCTTGCCTTCTTATCCTATGCACTTTTGTTACCTGCCTGATGCTGTAGGGTTTTCAAGATTTAGTGACAGCTACCTTATTACTGGAAAAGAATTTTCTCTTCTGTGGATTTCTGTGAGATTTTGGTGTATATGTCCAAACCTGGACAACTAATGAAGAGGGTAATATTAACAATTATGCTAAAACAAGAGCCATAAACTAGGATTCACAGGGACAGAAAGGGCTACCTTTTATATGCCACTTCATGGCACTTTAATCTGCTTTTCTCTGTAATTAGGAAAGCAGATTTCATCTCATCATTCTCATCTTCCACTCTAGCATAACAACACACACACTACGTGGTGCCTGATAGGCAGACATGATTCTCTATAGTGCGTGGTAAATGCAAAGTACTAACAGTTTAAAAAGTGAGAAAATTAATTTTTAGCATTGCTGTAAATATTTCTTTTTTAAAAAGTTGTTAATTCCTCCAAGATATTTTTGTTTTACTTATTTTCTATATAATAGAGCTGTCACTGGGTAAGATGTATAATGTAATAAAACACCACAAAAGTTATAAATGAAAACCAACTTTGACATATTACAGCAACATCAGATATATAAAACAATTGATACACTTCTCAGTATATATAAAGAAACAGACATAGGTGTAAGAGCAGATAAGGGTATAAATATGTATAGCACAAATATTTCTAAGATGTGAGTCTATAAATTGATTTTTAACTCCTTAAAACTTAAGGGTTTCATAATACTCACCTTGTTCTCTGCTGTGGTAGAACTATTGAGCTTGCCATTTTAAATCTATTCTAAAAGGAATTAGGGCTTCTGGACCTTGTTTTCTCTTCAAAATTACTTGGCCTGATTTTTAACTGCATTATTAATGTTCATCTTTCATCAAGGATGGTGAAGAAATGTCTTGTTCAGCAGTATTTCTTGCAGTCATAGAAAACAAAATTTTTAAAGGCAAACAAATTGTGCCTTGGATCAGTCTCAGTCATAAGTGTAGCCATTTGCTCAACCTTAGGGAAAATATATATTGAGTTATACTGATTGATAACCTGATATAGCGAAATACTAAAACAAAATACAATAACCATAGATTGTGAATATAACTATGTAAAGAAGTAGACAATAGGATTTATGAAGGATAGTGAACTATTTCTCTCAGAAGAGATGAAAATGAGGAATGATATAATCTAAATACAATAGAGACTGTCATATTTGATATGTTATTACTTGCTAGACTATAAGAATTTCTTGCATGAAATTTCAAAAACAAATGGCAGACTTGAGAATGAAAATGAAGTCAGATTTCAATTGGAGAATTATGGGTTAGTAATATCAGGCTAACATAACAGAACATCATAGCCTGAGCAGCTTATACATAACAGAAATTTACTTTCCACTGTTCTGAAAGCTGGAAATCTAAGGTCATGTTTCCAACATATTCATTGTCTGGTGAGGGCCTACTTCCATTCACCTGTAGTATCCCTCCCTCTACCCCCCAAAATTCAAATCCTTCTAAAATACATAATAAATTCATCTCCACTCCAATAGCCCCAAATATCAGAACTCATTCCAGTACCCACTTTAAACATTAAATCCAGATTCTCACCTTAGGTTTCACTCAAATCAGATATAAGGATGAGATGCATCCTGAGTTAAATTCTCCAGCTGTGAACCTGTGGAATGAAACATGTTATGTGCTTTCAAAATACAATGACAGGTTGCACGTGAAGGAGGCTTACTCATTCCACAAGGAAGAAATAGGAAAGAAGGAAGGAGTGAAAGGCCCTAAGTAGATATAAAATCTAACAAAGCAAATAGCGTTAGCCCATAGTGCTTGAGAATAATCATTTTGGGCCAGATGCTCTGCCTTTTATACCCACTGGCATGGAGATTCCGCCTTCTGGACTCACTGGGGCAGAGGTCCTGGTGTTTTGGCTGTGGGTGAATTTGTCTTGCCTGTTGAAAGCAAGGCAATGGTTCGTCTCTAGAAACCGAGGGGGCAGCCCTGATGATCTCTGAATTGCCTTCAGAGTCATTCTTCCAGGGTCTTAAAAAATAGCACACATTCACAGTCACAGAGCTCTGTGGTTCATCCCATGAAATCCAAGAACAGCTGACATCTGTCTGTTACCTTTTCCTCTTCAGTTTAAACAAGTGGCTTTCCTAGTAGGGTGGCTTATTAAGTTCATAGTTCACACCTATGTTAGTTTCCTTGTTAAATGATCACATAACCACCCTTACTGTTCATCCCTGAACAGGTTTTCTCATTCTTTTCTATATAGATAGACCGAGAATTTTCTAAATCATTAGGTTTTTATTCATTTTTGCTTAACAATTCCATCTTTACATCATTTCTCTCTTCTCAGATTTTATATAAGTAGTTGGGAGAAGCCAGGCTGCTCCCTTACTGCATAGACTGGGTAACTGCTGTCAATGGACTGACTTTGTTATGGTTCTCCTACAGAGAAAGGATAATGCTAGAGAAGACCTTGTACTTCTTGGATTTCATTTTTTTTTATTTCTCATTTTTATTGATATAAAGTTAGCAGATTTCATGTATTTCATAGGTATGATTATAAAAAGCTACCACACTTCCCTCCTTCACTCCCTCCCTCAATCCCCCTTCTTCCTTTCTTTTTTCTTTTAATTTTTTAATAACATACTTTCAATTTACTTTATAATCACAAGCTTAATGTATCACTAACCATAATTTTCAACAACTAAAAAGTAAAATGGCCACTGTTTCACAGTAATATACATAAGGGTAATTAACAATAATCAGATCATAAAATTTCAGTTTTGTTCTTATAATTTTTTTATATTCCATATTAACTACCTCATGTCAGATAAAACATGTTATATAGTCTTTTGGGGACTAGTTTATTTCACTAAGCATAATAGTTTCCAGTTGCATCTATTTTGTTGCAAAATACAGGATCATTCTTTTTTATGGCTAGGTAGTATTTCATAGAGTGTGTATACAACATTTTCTTTATCCAGTCATCAGTTGATGGACATCTGGGTTGATTTCATACCTTAGCTACTGTGAACTGAGCTGTTATAAACATATGAGTACAGATAACTCTTTCATATGCATTTCTTAGGAATCCATGGAAGATGGCTTTTTCTACTCTGCAAGGCTGAATGTCCTCAGGAAGCTCACATCTCAATGTCTAATTCAGCTCTTAAACAAAGCCAAATCCTGGATTACCCTAACAAATATAGCTACTGACTATTCCTTGAATTATAATTTGGAAATGAATTACTATCTTTTAGAACCAGTCATAAACATTATCCATATCTGGGGGAGGGGTGCTTTTCCTATACTGACATTTAGGGACAGGACTTTATCTAAACCTTAGTAAATTAGTCTCATAAACTGTTAAGTTTTTTGGTCTTAAACTTCATTACTGTACCCCACTCACTGCATACATTCTTTTTTTAACCATAGAGACACTATAACTGTCTGCAGAGCTCTTACTACACTTATTTAAATAGGGTATAATCACACACAACCTTTTTATGATAGACAAAGACCAGCTCTTAGTACAGTAAGCATATGGTTCTTTGTGTACATTACAACACCCTTATGATGAAGCAAGTCCAGTCAATAAGTAGTCTTAATAATGTGTGTTAAACTTTTTATTTAAGAAGTGGTTATCATAGTGTGGTTCACAGACTAGCAATATCAGCATCACTTGCTAGATATTCATATCTTTGCCTCCCTCCCATTCCCACTGGATTAGAATGTGTGTAGGCAGAGGTCCAGTAATATGTGTTTTAACATACCCTCTGGGGGAGGCATTTAGCGCATCTATTAAGTATCCCCTTGGCATATTGACATTCTGCATCAAAGTACATGTGTTCTAGTCTTGGCTCCACTTCTAAGTCCAACTTCCTGCTAATGCACACCCCTAGAAGCAGCAGATGAGAGCTCAAGTTGGCTCCCTGCAACCTACATGGGAGACCTGATTTGCATTCCTGGCTCCTGGCTTCACAATGGCCCAGCCATGGCTGTTGAAGATTTGGGAGAGTGAACCAGCAGATAGGAGAATTATATTTCTCTGTCTGCATCACTCTCTATCTCTCTGTCTTTAAAACAAATAAAGATAGGCTGGCGCTGCAGCTCACTAGGCTAATCCTCCGCCTTGCGGCGCCAGCACACTGGGTTCTAGTCCTGGTCGCCCCTCTTCCAGGACAGCTCTCTGCTGTGGCCCGGGAGTGCAGTGGAGGATGGCCCAGGTGCTTGGGCCCTGCACTCCATGGGAGACCAGGCTCCTGGCTTCCGATCAGCGCGGTGCGCCGTGGCGGCCATTGGAGGGTGAACCAACGTCAAAGGAAGACCTTTCTCTCTGTCTCTCTCTCTCTCTCACTGTCCACTCTGCCTGTCAAAAAAAAAAAAAAAAAACTATTAAAAAAAAAACAAAGATTATTTTAAAAACCCTCAAGGTAATACTGGTGTATTCTCCAGTTTGAGAATGATGCTATATAACTTTATCTTACGTATGGGAAAACAATGTCCCCCAGTGGCCAATAACATGTGCATTCTAATTTTAAGTAAAAGTATACTGTATTGAAAATAATCACAAAGGTAATTTTACTTTTACTGAAACTCAGTCCCAAAATTCATCTGTGCTAGAAAATTTTATCCCTTCTTCTTTGTTTTAATGCAATTAAATCCAAGGCTGAGCGTCAGTGCACTGGATTGATAAGCAGTAAATTCTTAGTATCTTGAACACCTTTCTTGCCTAGGACTCAACAAAAAACCAAGAGGCTTAGAAGGTATTCAGAAAGCAGGAGATGTTTCTTGACCTTCCAATCTGTCATAGCCTCTGGTGTCCTCCTGTTGTCCAAACTAAAATACATTCTTGAGGTCTGTGTCCCACACTCAGCTCTGCTGACTATACCATGCAACCAATTTCCTGAAGTTTAGACTCTTTCTAGATCACTGCTCCAGATCACAGGCTGGATCCCTAAAAAATCATAATTCCATAAAAATCATTTTTTCAATAAACTTATTCTTTTATAATAAACCTATAAAGCTTCTGAAGTGTTAGCCAATAGACTTCCTGACATGCTGAAATTATTCTATACTTATATAGTACAATATCCACTAGTCAAATGTGGCCACTGAACCTTGAAATGTGCCTGCTACAACTGGCTACTTTTTACTCTTATGTAATTTTAATTAATTTTACTATATACTTAAACAGTCTCACATGGCTAGCATGACCACCTACTGGGTAGCAAGTTCTAAAGGCTTTTGCTTCTACCTTGCTGCAAGAATACTGATGACATAGCTATCTTCTTAAAACAAGAGGATGGAAGTCATGGGGAGCAACACGGAATCCATCTGAAAAATCGAACTGTACTCTGGTGATGAGTACAGGGGTGTCCATTGTACTCTCATTCAACCTTTCCATATCTTCAGAAATTCTCAAAATAAACATTTGGGGAAAATACACTTACTGCTACAAATTAAAGTCCAGTTACAAATGGATTTATGAATGGAGTTCCTGAAATGTGAGCTCCAGCTGTTTTTCTTCAGCCAATTTAGACAAGTGGAAGAGTCAATACCAGGACAGCACTTGAGAAACCAGGAGTTAGATATTAGGAGAGAAAGCCTGGACTTCTGAGATGGCAACAAACAAACAAAGAAACTCAGGAGATAGAGAGTAACAGCCTTTGCCTCCAGGCATAACTCTGGGTAGGAAAGATTCTCTTCCTGAGGGAGACAGAGTGTGGGTGTCATCAACAAAATGTTGTGTGCATCAGTGTGAAGTGATCCTCTGACATGCTTGTGGCCCAGCTTCTTACAGATAAAGGAGTCAAACTGGCAGAATAAAAGGTACTTAGGGCACACAAGTTGGAACAACCAGCTGAGAAAAAGCATGAAATGTGATAGGACCTCTCTCTGTAACTCTTTCAAATAAATACAATAATCTTTAAAAAAAAAAAAAAAAGAGTGGTATTTGAGATAAACTCCAAAGAAAAAGTAGATTTTATCAGGTGAAGAGCCCAAGGGAAAGTGTTCCTAGAAGAAGGAATAGTTGTCCTGTGTGGTTGGAACAAAGACTTTGAATGGGAGAAAAGGAGATAAGCCTTGGAAAGACAATGAGGTGAAAGGTCCTGGATGCTGGGCTCAAAAGCATGGAGATAATGTGAGCTCTAAAAATGTTTACGGTAAGGAGTTCATAATTGTTTTTTTAGGAAAGAGTTTTCTTGGCCTGAGATCCAAAAGAAATCTGTAACATGAATGATTCAGGGAACACCATGTGTGACAAAGCTAATCTCGAAAGAGTTTTAACTCAGAAAACACTCTTGGTGTGCCTGGCATGATTGCTGCACTGAAAAATTTAACCTCACAACAAAATTCAGCAAAAGAAAGTCCACCTTAGGCTAAATTAATGCAGCTTTTCTGTGGTCTGACTTAGCCCAAGTTTAGTCTTTGAAGATCTCAGAAAGGTGAGTTGATACGCTGTTCATCTGATCATGATCCTTAGGTGTGTGCTTCTAGATGAACTTTTGCCTGGGAAGCAAAAGTCTACTGTACACAATGATACACTTCAGTGAGCATCTTGGCCTCCCCATACCAAGGGCAGATTAATGCACAGTTTTGAACATCAGACCAGCAGGTGTTACCCGCTGCCCATGACCACAAATGTTTAAGACTGGAAGCAAACAAAAATTCTCATAAAAATATGTCTCATTGGGTGGAATGCACTGTACAGGGAAACTAATGAAAAATATGGTTTTGTTTTAAAGCCTGCAGTAGTAGCTAACTTTTCTCTCCAGATTGTCATTATGCAACCTACTGGCATGGAAAAAATTAATGTCCACAAACTCCTTAAGACATTTATCTGAAATCTGAAAAGGGGAACTATGCATATCATATCTTATAAGACTACTATAGACATTTGAAATCCACGTAAACAATGCAGCGAAAATCAGTTAAACTTCAAACCCAATGCACTATTTACAATATCTTTAAACAGGAATAGAAAAGCCTTAGTCCAGTGTATTTAATCTAATTCTCTGAGGCAATATACGTGCAGCTGACAGTTGCCTAAGGGGTATTAAAAATAAAAACCTGCATAGGGATTAATTTTATTCCTATAATCGGCGGCAGTACTATTAAACATATACACAAACACTAAAAAGTTTGCCTCGTTTGTCTTTCTTATGATGAGGGCTGGTAAGAACGGACTAATTTAATCTGCATTTCAGCAACAAACAGTATTGCAAGAATGCGTGCCAAGGAAAACAGGCCCATGAAGCTCAATGCCGTTCATTTCTGCTAAAGACTTGTGATTTTTCTGCGCCACCTTGTGGTCAAAACCCAACTACACGTGAGAGCTAAACGCTCTTCCCAGCGCTGGGGAAGCCTGCAGCTTCCGCATTGCGGAAACCGGCCAGTAGAAACCTGAAGAAAATGGTGTCTTTCTTTGTAGCCAGTGAGCGCGAATACTTGCCCCTCTTCCCCCTTCCTCCACCATTTGCTTTATTCCTTAACTCCATATATTCGAGTCAACCCACCCCCTGGTCTCCGAGGTCTCTTTCTAGGTCCGGCCTCCTTTCTGACCAACCAACCAGTCGCACGCCTTTCTCGAACGCTGGCCCGCCCGTGGTCGCCCTCGCAGCACTCCCTCAGGGTCCCCTCGAGCGCCTGCTCCGCGCGCGCCCCCGTAATCCCGGCCTCAAGGGCCCGCCCCCTCTCTCTGAACAGCCAATGGCGGCGCGGCTCCGCCCCGCCCCGCCCACCGAGTCCAGCCGCTAGCGCGGAGCTGGGGCCGTGGCAGCTGGGCCCTGAGCCCTGGGCTCTGCCTGGGCGCCGGTGGGCGTACGCCCTGCAGCCCGCGGTTGGGCCTCGGGAAAGTTATGGACTCGCAGGGGCTCAAGGTGAGCGCACGGGCGGACGGGGCTTTTCGTGGTGGCGATGAGCTAGGGGAGGGAGCTCGGGGGTTGCTCTTTTGTGGCTCCCGTGTCCTGGGTTGTGTGGCCGCACCGGTGAGGGGTTTGGGCCTGAAGCCCACCTCCCCGCCTCCTCGGCGCCGGCCGCGCCCCGGGGCTCTGGGCCGCGCGCTGCTGTGTGGACGGCCGGTGGAGCGCTCGTCCTCTGCCGTTTGTGGTGTTCCCTTTTACTCTGGGGTCGCATTCGTTAGGAAAGCCCGGGGGACCTGTGACGCTGTGCGTCCAGGTGCGACCGTTAAGGACTCCGAGCCAACCGGTGTCCGCTGCAACCCTGGGAAACCAATTCGACCGGCGGCGTAAACATGCAGGCGTCTTCGCGCGGAGGTGTTGTCTTTGAAGATGAGGGGTTCGTCCGCTCAGACGGCCCACTTAAGAACTAGATAAAGCACTTGAAGACATGAGGCTTGAAAAGTGTTCTTTTTGGATGATGACCTTTATGACTCGTTTGCCCAATGAGTCGACTCTCTCGGTATTTGTCGAGGTCTCTGTCCATGGCCCTCAAAAGCTGGAGGTAGCAGGAGCAGATAGTCTCCGTCTTCACAACTTGACAGTCTGATCTTGGAGGAAAACCCTCCCGCGATGCATTGCGCATCGAATGTCCCCTGTGGGTCTGCCGCCGTTCTAACCCCCCCCCCCCCCCCGAGGATACTGCAGCCATAGGAGGAAGGAAAACCCTTCCAGAGTTTACGTTTGAGTAGGACTCAGACAATAAGCAGGTAAATAAAGTATTCACCCTGTGAGCCTCATAAGTGGATAGAGGAGGATTTGGCTGTGTGGAAGGTTGGGCAGCGCTGAAGTGTCTGACATTTTTTTTTTACTCCCCTTTAATTTATACTTTACACGGCCACCCACATAAACTCTTCAGTAAAAAACACCTTAATGCTAAAACCTGCTATGTGATCCCCATCACTGAGTCTAGAGGATCCAGTCCACGACTTGAGTAGAACGTCCTGAACATGACCTGAGCTGCCTTCCCCTGGAAACAACAGGCTTCCTCTACAAAGGACCAGCTACCAGCGTGCTCCGACAACTTTTTGGAAGGTGCACATTAATGAAAACGTGATTCCTAGATTTCAAAATGCTTGCCCTAAAACATTTAATTTCATTCCCCCCCCCCCACAAACTTTTTGTAGTCACCTTATATGGTCTGTTAATGCTCTAGGTCAACACTCTTCCCCCTGGGGAAAACTGATGCGTGTTCTCTCTGTTATTGCAGCTCATCTCTGGCTAACCTCTACACTTTCCTCAAGAGTCATGAGAAGAAATAGGAAGGCCTGTCTGTGTGTGGAGGGGGAGTGCAGAGTTCGCAGTTCAGGGCTGGTTTCTGAAGTCCTGCCCAGGAATCTTTCCCTTAATTTTACTCTTAAGACAAGAGTCTTAGCTGGACATAATCATTTTTCATATAATCAACATACGAGCTTCAAACGAACTTTTTGTATTTCAGAATAGGACTTTTGGGGTGAGCATTGTGTAGCAGGTAAAGCTGCCGCCTGCAACTCCAACATCCCATATGGGTGCCAGTTGGCATCCAGCTGCCTCCAATTCTGATCCAGCTCCCTGCTGTTCCACCTGTGAAAGCCGTGGAGGACAGCCCAAGTGCTTGAACCCCTGCCACCCACTTGGAAGTCCCAGCTATCTGGGGAGTGAACCAATGGATGGAAAATCAATTTCTCCCTCTCTCTTCCTCTCTCCCCTCCCTCCCTGCCTCTGTGCCTCTCTCTTCCTCTCTCTTCCCCTCTCTCTGTAGCTGACTTTCAAATAAATAAATAAATAAATAATTTTTAAAGATAGGACTTTTTTTTTTTTTGACAGGCAGAGTGGACAGTGAGAGAGAGAGAGACAGAGAGAAAGGTCTTCTTTTTTTTGCCATTGGTTCACCCTCCAATGGCCGCCGCGGCTGGCGCGCTGTAGCCGGTGCATCGCACTGATCCGAAGCCAGGAGCCAGGTGCTTCTCCTGGTCTCCCATGCGGGTGCAGGGCCCAAGCACTTGGGCCATCCTCCACTGCACTCCTGGGCCATAGCAGAGAGCTGGCCTGGAAGAGGGGCAACTGGGACAGAATCTGGCGCCCCGACCCGGACTAGAACCCGGTGTGCCGGCACCGCAAGGCAGAAGATTAGCCTATTGAGCCACGGCGCCAGCCTAAAGATAGGACTTTACACTATGCTCACAGAACTCTTACAACCACTTGTAAATTTGCTTTACTATCAGAATTTTACGAATGAGCCAACTGAGGTAGTGTGAAATGGACCCAAAGAGTTGAAATCAGGTTTTACTTTTAAATCTATGTAATATCATGCTGTCTTTCAGCAAAATTGTAGATTCTAAGCAATACTAACTGCTGTTCAGGAAGATTTATTTTATTTATTTGAAGGACAGCATTACAGAGAGGGAGAGCTCTTCTATCTGCTGGTTTACCCCCCAAATGGCTGCAGTGGCCAGGGCTGGGCTAGGTGGGCTGGGTCTCCAACTTGGGTGCAGGGGCCCAAGCACTTGGGCCATCTTCTGGTGCTTTCCCAGGTGCATTAGCAGGGAGCTGGATCAGAAGCAGAGCAGCTGGGACTAGAACTGGTGCCCACATGGGATGCTGGCATTGCAGGCAGTGGCTTAACCCATTATATCACAATGCCAGCCCCAATGAAAGTATTCTTAGCTGTGACAAACTAAGAGGTCATTTGTGCCATTATGGGGTTGGTACAGTTTACTGAGATGTGCGATAGACTTCTAAGAGATGGAGTGTGAATCACACTCTCAAGAAAAGTGGCTAAGAAAGAACAGAACTCAGTAATTACAAGGAGTGATGCAGAATAAAATTCATACAGAACATTTACCTAAATGATACAGAGAAGGGCATGGGCTGTAGCTCTGCAGGAACAATAGCCTACACAACAGAACTGTCTGGATACACTCATATTTTAATCCTGTCAGTTCGGAATTCAACTGTATCAATTCTGCTGAACCAGCTTTGGTGAATCAGGTACATCCTAGTGGTAGTGAGATTGTGACTTCCCTTTTAGATTAGAATAGCAAATAGCCCTAGGTAAAGCATAGAAATAACTAATGAGAATTTAGTATCTCCTGAGGAGTTTGCTCTGTAAACCAAAATAATAAAATAGTATAGGGGCCAACACTGTAACATAGACTGTTAAGCCTCTGCCCACAGAGCATCTCATATGCCTGCCGGCATCCCATGTGGGCACCGGTTCCAGACCTGGCTATGCCACTTTAATGGCCTGGGAAAGCAGCGGAAGATGGCCCAGGTCCTTAGGCCCCTGCACCCAGGAAGAAGCTCCTGGCTCCTGGCTTCAGCCTGGCCCAACCAGAGCCATTGAGGTCATTTGAGGAGTGAACCAGCAGATGGAAGATTCATTCATATTCATTCATTCATTCTCTCTCTCTCCTCTTTCTCCTCTTTCTGTATCTCTGCCTTACAAATAAATACATCTTTTAAAAAAAATTATTTACTTATTTTAAAGGCAGAGTTACAGAGAAGCAGAAACAGAGAGAGTGAGAGAGGTCTTCCTTCCGCTGGTTCACAACCCAGATGGCCTCAATGGCTGGAACTGCGCCATTCCGAAGCCAGGAGCCAGGATCTGCTTTCAGGTCTCCCATGCAGGTGCAGGGGTACAAGGACTTAGGCCATCTTCTGCTTTCCCAGGCCATAGTAGAGAACTGGATCGAAAGTGGAGCAGCCAAGACTCAAACAGGCACCCATGTGGGATGCTAGCACTGCAGCTGGTGGCTTTACCCGCTATGCCACAGCGCCGGCCTCAGTACATCTTTCAACAAAATAATATAGCCTTGCAAAAAAGCTTGAAGATAGCCATTTCCATTGAAACCCCTTTGAGATTATTCATTCTCACTGATGATTATTTGTTGTAGGACTCAGACATAAAAGTAAAGATGTGGGTTCAGTGTTGTGTCTCAGTGGGTTATGCTGCCACTTGTGATGTTGGTATTCCATTTGGGCCTTGTTTTGAGTCCTGGTTGCTCCACTTCTAATCTCATGTCCTAAAGTGCATGTGAAATCTGTGGGTTATGGCCCAAATGCTTGTGCCTCTACTACTTGTGTGAGAGACCAAGATGGAATTCCAAGCTCCTGACTTCGTTGTGGCAATTTAGGGAGTGAAACTGTGAATGGAGGATCCCTTTCTCTCTTTCTCCCTCTGTCTGTAAGTCTGTGTTTTAAATAAATAAATTTTTTGAAAAAAATACAATTGAATTTGAAAATAAATTATTAAGTTTCATCACTTTGTAATGCTGTGATAACAAAATAGATATTTTAAGAGAAGCAAGATCTTTTTTTAAAAAAATCTATACTCTGATGATGGCAGCCTCTTTTTTTCTCTATTCTTTATTGTCAGTTTTCTAAAATATTTAAGAAAATGTGGGCAAAGGGAAAGAAAGAGGTTAATGTAGTCCAATATTAGTGCTGTTAAAAAATTAGGAATAAAGGTTGAAATTATTGGAAAAGATTGAAGTAACATTCATTTTGTGTTCCTTATGTTCTGCAGTTCTATAAGGCACTTGGAAGAAGAGAAGTTTTGGCTTTTCCAGATGACTATCTGCTTTCTGAAGTGTTTCAGAACATCTTAACATGTCATCATTGCTTCCTTTTAGACTTTGATCGATTACTATTGTCAAGAGAGATATTTCCATCATGTGGTACTTTTTGCCAGTGAAGGAATTAAGATGTATGGCAATGACCCTGTCTTCAGGCTTTATCATGCTTATGGTACATTAATGGAAGGTATGTACTAATTTTTGAACTTGTTCCATGGTTTTAAATTCTTGC